CATCAAAAAGCAATTTGAATAATACAAACCAAAGTCTAATAAACCTAATGAAGTTTGACTAATCTTGTGTGTTCAATGACATCAGCAAAACTACATATTTCCAATACAAATCAAGCAAACTGAAAAAAACTGAAAGGAATAATGACATATTTGTTTATGTGCCTTCAAGGTTTATGTTTAATATATAAAATGCTAAACACATTTTGATTTTTTCCCCTCCAAACGTCAAAACATTCCTTGTCCACACACCAAGAGGCATATCATTCAAACAACAATCACATATTTTATATTTTTACATGTGACCATTTATGGAAAAATATTATTTTACATTTTTAATTTTGATCAGTGATATTTAAAAAGCATATATAAATCTGGAAGAGAATGCAGATATTAATGTATCAGTGAATAATTTATTGCAGAATTACCAATGTGGATTCTGCATTTATAAAGGTATAAAGTGTGGGTATACATACATTCATTTCATTAACTATTATAAAGTGTTTTGCTACTAAGTTGAGCAAAACATACAGCTTAATGACATCATTGCTATTTTCTCATATATTTGTTTTCCAATTATGTTTTACCAGATTATACAAATTTAGCCATTTAACCTTACATACAGTTTCTCATGTTATCCAGACATTCAGAACTGAAGATTTTCTTTCACATAAGTAACTGTAATGGAATCCCTTGTTGCACACATTCATTGTATAAAGGCTTAAAGTAGCACTTTTTAAACAATTAAAAAAAACAACTGACCCCCCCAGTTTACAAAGCTGAAGCTAACAGGACTTTGGATGAATTAATATTATCTGAATGTTTTACCAATGCATTAATTTGAGTAACCTTTTGAAAGTAGAAGGCTAATATCATTTCTCTGGTAACTATCCACACCTGTGGTACTGAAAGTACATTTCAAAAGTACATTTGTCAAAAAGGTTACCTTGTGGTAAGATGGGCAGCCAATAAATTTTATAAATAAATAAAAAATGAGACCAATTATTTGATTTTCTGACAATAGTGCAGCTCATCTAGGTCATAACTTAACTTTTTGTTAAATATTACAAGTGAATACTAGCAAAGCAAATACAGTTGCCTAATTTTTACAAAGATCACCAGTCCTGTCTAATTCACCATGCAATAAAAGTCTAGTTTTCTTGCTAGCTCCTGCATTTTTCACTAAGTATTTTGTTAATTATTAACTTCACTTGTTAACCATGACTAATCTAATGACATGTATATTTACTCTGTTATTACGACACTACAAGATCTCCTAAGCAACTCTTGCAGTGTCATAATAACAGAGTAAATAGAAACATTATGCCAATTTTCTTTGTGTTTGCCTAATTCCTCTGCACAAATAAGTTACTTCTAAGCAGGTTTATTCACCTATTTGCCCATAAAATCAAGTTTCCTGATACTTATATACCTTTATATACCTTTTTACGCACTATTTTTTAAAGTCAAAGTATAAACAGAAACAATCAGCAACAGATGCTATGGTTTGACCTTTGGATATATAATGAACTTAGTTAAAAAAGAATATTGGGAAACCCAACAAGTGAAGCCATATTTAAAGCAGGACCTCCCCCACTCTGCAACATATATAACATTGTGTATCTATTCACCATCACTGTTCTTTTTATGATTGAAATAGTCAGTAATCAGTTGCAATCAGACCCAGGTGAAAACAATGCTAGGAAGTTCACTTGATTTGGGTTTCAACATCAAAAAGGCATTATTTATTTATTTATTTATTTATTTATTTATTTATTTATTTATTTATTATTTGAATTTATACCCCGCCCTTCTCCTTGCGGACTTAGATATAGATGGTTGGTTTTTTTCTTAAACATATTCAAATTATATTTCAATTTTAAATATGTTGTATAGTATTACTACCACTAGTAGGAAATAAAAAGGAAGTAGCCTAGTTCTCTCTTGTTTTCTAAGAGGAGCTGACTAGACTAGCAGAATAATCTATTAAATGGAAAATGTACATTTATAATGGACAATTTTTGTAAGTGTGGATTGCGCAATTCTATATGAATGTAACCTTACTTTAAAGAATTTGCTCTTTCTTTCTCACCAAGTATACATACACTTTTCCTATGCTGCAATATAATTCACACCATATTGATTTTGTCTGAGTCTTGAAACCATAAATATTGCATCATCTTTTACATACTCTGCAGAGGAGAATCTTGTAGTCGGCAGGCCATGTTTAGAACCACTAGCCAACCTTGGACTGTTTTGGTTAACACTTTGATGGATGACAGACAACCAGGAAATCAAAGAAAGCAATTAAAAGCCATGTCTACATGGTTACTGAGAAAACAACATGCTCTCCAGGAGATGAGTTCAATTCAAATTTAACGATTTATGCAGGAATTGGGTTTCCAATCATGCAGTTGGGGTTTTCGCCAAAATTTCCACTGATGTCATTGAAATATAACTTTTCCCAAATTTTATTGCTTTGGAAAGAATTATTCTCTCTCTCTCTCTCTTTCTCTCTCTCTCCCTCCCTCTCCCCCTCCCGCCCCATAGAAAGTAATTTGGTTGAGAAAGCTATGGAAGGTTTTAGTGTGTGCACCAAGGATATGAAAGACTATCCATTCTCATTTACTGAAAGAATGTGAACCAAGAAGCTTATTCATTAAAGAATATAGCCCTCCAGTTGAAAAGCTTTCCCCCATTTTGTTTGTCTGTTTGTCTATCTGTCTATCTGTCTATCTATCGTAGATACCATCCATCTCACTCTCAGAATGGCTCTAGCTGGTGTACAGTTAACAGCATTGAAACATAAAAATCATATAAAAATGCAATACGTTAATAAAAGGAGCCAGGTAAAAACTAAGAATAGGTTGGACTAGAAGACCTCAGAGGTCCCTTCCAGCCATATGATCCTAAATTAAAAGTTAAAAGTGAGAGAAAGGGGCTTCAGGGAGCTAACCATTACCAGGATTGTGTGCCGCTCTGCAAGCCCCATGCGAGTTGGCAGAACCAGGTCTTCAAACTCTTTTGAAAGGCCAGGAGAATAATGGCCCACTTAACCTCTGAGGGGAGGATACTGTATTCCAGTGGGCAGGGGCAATAGCTGAGAAGGTTCTCTTCCTTGACCCTGCCAGTTGAAATTCTTTAATTGACAGAGGCTGTAACATACCTTCCCTGCCTGACCAGGTGAGGTGAGGTGATTCGATAGAGGTAAGATGGCTCCTCATATAACCTGACTCCATGCCATGCAGGGCTTTAAATGTGATAATCAACACCTTGAATTGGATTTGAAAGCAAACTGACACCCAATGAAAGTCACACATCAAAGGTGTGTTACATGCACATCCTTGGGGCACTCAAAGTTGCTGCACACTGGCATTCTGCAGCAGCTGAAGCTATAAACTTTATAAAAGTTTGCTGCCCTTATTTGAATGATTAAAGGAATAGGCACGATCAAGAATGAATAAATGGCCTAAACCATGCTGCATTTATTATTAAAAAAACCACCAGTTAAGAAAATTAATATTGTATAAAGAAGTTCCAATGATTTATCTATGATTTGTAATCATCTTCATTTTAGGATAATAGACCTGGAAAGGGGTTAATTGGTCAGATTTTCTTTATTTAATCCTTTCTGACAAATTGCTCCCACTTTTTTCTTCACTCTCTTGTTCACCTTCTTTAAGTAGCTGAACAGAGAGGACGGGTCCTGGGGGAGCTTCCCAGAAAAACATAAGAGCAACGCTTTGTACCTGCTCATTTGCCTTTTTTTTTTTTCTTCATTTTGACTTTGTCCAGCGCAGAAGCAGTTTGAATCTCGCTCCCTTTTCATCATCCTTGGCCGTCCAGCATCAGCGGCGTCCCCTATAGGTTCCCTTGGAGAAGGCCAGTTGGGAGCCACAGGCACAAACACCCCTAAGGCAGGGGTCTTCAAACTTGGCCCTTTTATGACTTGTGGACTTCAACTCCCAGAATTCCTCAGCCAGGCACGCTGGCTGAGGAATTGTGGGAGTTGAAGTCCACAAGTCATAAAAGGGCCAAGTTTGAAGACCCCTGCCCTAAGGCATCTGCAGGGCGCCAGATTGAAGAAGGCTGGCGATGATGGAAACCATACCATCTTATTAGAAATTGTAGAAAATATTCGTAGCTCGGGTTGTAGATTTGGACAGATCGTCGTCGTCGGAGCTTAATGCTCGCCTCCCGGACGTTTTGTTACCAAACTAAGGTAACATCTTCAGCAGGGTGAAGTGAACCGACCACCCCTGGACCTATTTAAACGAACAAGACACTTCACTCAAAAATCCGGCTGAAGATGTTACCTAGTTCGGTAACGCAACGTCCAGGACCCAACCAGCAAGCTCGGAGGACAAAACTCTCTGCCCATGCCATCTTATATTTTGCATATTCTTCCAGAGCGCCAGAAGGTCAAGGCTCAGCAAGCTCAACCCTGCTTCCCCATCACCTAGCAGCGAGGGAGGAGACGGTATCGAGAAACAAAAGCATACTCTTTTTTTCCCCCTTTCATTTGCAGGACCAGCCCAATGCAGTGCAAAAAGCAACGGATCTAAACGAGCAGAGGGCCGCCTAGGCTCGCTTCTTCTAGGCAGGGGCTACCCCCGGTCACCTTAGCCCTCAGCGGACGCAGCGAGCGGATTATAAACCACGGCGACGGGCCAGGCGGCTGAAGCTCTTTCTTCCACCGAGTCAATTCGAATCAAGGCTCCCCGCCCCTTTTTCTTTCTTTTTTTCCCTTTCCCAGCTGATTTTTCCTCCCACCTGATCCCGCGCTCCAGCTGTTCGGGTTTGAGCCCCTCCCTCGGTCACCCCGCGGATTGGGCGAGCGCAGGAAGCAGAGGCCGAACCGGATTCGCTTTCGCGGCTAGAAACCCGGCCAGGCACAGATGGGCCCGGTTTGCTCGATTCCGGATTGGAGCGGGCGCTTAACGGGCCGCGATCGTCATTTGGCGGGGGGCTGAGCGCGGCCCCTCCTCTTTTTCTGAGTTCCTCCAGCCGCGCCGCCAGCACCATGGCCGAGGTGCCCCCCGTGGTCCGGATCAAGGTCTCCCTCAAGATCCAGCCCAACGACGGCCCCGTCTACTTCAAGGTGGACGGCCAGAGGTTCGGCCAGAATCGCACCATCAAATTGCTGACCGGGGCCAAATACAAGGTCGAGGTGGCCCTGAAGCCGGGCACCATCCACGCCACGTAAGTTGCGCATCCTTCCTCGCCTGCCCCGCGAGAGCCGCTTCGCTGCCGCGTGATCCGCCCTGCCCTGATTTGTTAAGAGCGCCGAGATTTATTCCCGGCCACCGGGATGGGCAGGCGCTTCCATTTTCCCTCGGTGGGAATTGCAGCTTCGGTTAGTTAGCCGGTTTCAGAGGATGCCTCTCTCCCTCTCCCCGTCCCCGGGCGGCCATTCACGAAACAGCCCGGCAAGCAGCCGTAGTGCGGGAGATCGAACACGCCCATCCAGGCTCCCCCGCTTCTCGGAGAACGATAAGGCTCGGAGGAACGCCCTAGTCGCCGTCCTGCTTTATGTGATAACCGTATAATAGCATAGGCGAGGAGGGAAAGGCAAGGGGACCGAGGCCTAGTCTGCAATTATCGGAGAGGGCTTTAGGCCGGGGACGAGAAAATAAGAGCCCGCTGCAAGAAAACGCCCAGCGGAACGGTGGCAATCCGGAGGCGAATGCGGGCAAGCCGGATAATTGGCGAAAGCTTGCCAACTCTGGTTATATAACGGCTCACCCAGCCTCTTCTCTGGTGTGTGCGACTTTACGTTGGGGAACGTAACCGAGTTTCAATCCGTAGCCCGCTTCTATTATTTTAAAGGAAGAGGCGGTCGCCCTGTAGTATCTTTTCAGCCTCTTGAGATCAGTAAATTTATGGCTTGGATTAAAAGGATAGATCATATATCTATACTAGAGTTTGGAATAGGGTAAAAGTGGCCCGGTTTCCCAAGGCTCCTGTTTAGGAGCAGGGGGGGGGCGAGGGGGGGTGTCCTCCAGATGTTTTAGCTAAAAATCCCCATGTTCTTTTGCAGCTGGGAAAGGCTGCTGTTTGGCGGTCACAAGGTTGCTTGCCTATCCTAGGCGAACAGAAGTGCCAACAGTAAAGGGAGGTAGCCTGGAAGTGGTATGCATGTTTTACATGCAGAATGTTTCCAGGTAAAGCTAGGAAAATTGGGACCTGGGATCTGAGCACAGGGGGCATCTTGCTTTGTAATAATAGGGAAATGCACAATCATTTGATATAAATGATTCAGTGCCAATTCAGGCAACTTCTGTCTTCAAATAAAATCTTCAGGTTGAATTGCTGAATTGATTTGATGTATTGGATCAGATTGGATGCTTTTAGCCTATAATTTAGCAACTTGATGGACAGCTGTGCACATGCTTCCTCTTTACTGAATCTTTATTTAAATGGTTGGAGCTGGGTGATTCACAGCCTCCTAATTAAGCTATGTAAGAGTTTGGCTGTATCTTGCATTTCTCTGCCTTTTGAGCAATCAGCGTCCAATATTTCTAAGTCTTCACAATCTTCTTTGAGCATCCTATCCTCCTTATTTCAGTTGACTTAATTTAGATTAATGTTCTTTTAAATGATCGTGGAATCAACATTATGGATTTTAGTCAAGAAAGACAAATTTTAAAGCATTGTTTTTCCTTCCTGCCCCCTCTTTCCAAGGCAGTACATACCCATTTTCCACGTTTCCTCCTCAATATTTCATTTTGAGTGACAAATTATTTAAGAGGTTATTCACCATCAGTTTAACTGATTATGTGCCATAAGTAATTTTTGATTCCTAGTGTCCATACTCATAGATTTTTTTCCCTGGTGATCTATTCCTAACCTGGTATTTATGACTTCCAATGGTAGAAGATGCTGGAGGCAGATGATCACTTTAGTGACAATAGCAAAGGCATCAATCCATATTGTGTGGGAGAAGGCAGTGGATAGACCACAGGGATAAAAAAACCATTATTACAGTTCATATTTTTTTCTCTCATCTCACAACAATGGGATCATTAAGTGCTAACATGTGTTAAGATTACCAACTTCTGTTTCAGGACAATGGGAATAGGTGGAGTAGATGTGACCCTTGAAGAGACAGCAAGAGAACCACAACTTGTTACTTACACTGGCATCTATGACACAGAAGGAGTTCCTCACACCAAAAGTGGGGAAAGACAACCTATACAAGTAAACCTTCAGGTAGTGTATATCTCTGAGAGGAGGAGGCTGGAAAAATAAATGAAGTTAGTAAAAAAAAAAGGGTGAACACAGTAAACTCCATGATACGTGAAATAGTTTTGATCAAATTCATTTTTATGATAATGAGCTGCACTTGGGTTGCGTACACCGTTTCAGATTTTTATATTTGTCTTTTTCCTACTTCCAAAAGAAGCAAACTAATTTTGTGGTCAGCTGTTACAGAAAGGAAACCCCTAACCACAATGCAGTTTGCTTCCTGACCCTAAGATTGTTCTGACTCTCATTTGCTAGTTGAAAGAACGAGGTTTCTCCCCAGAATGCACAACCTTTATTTATTGGAGATGATGTCCTTTCTGATTTCTTCTGACAATGACCTTTAACTTTTTAAGCATTTGTGGAGCTTGCAGCTATAACTATAACTCACCTTTACTTTGCCAAGCCCGTAACCTCAAAGTATGTCATTTATTGGAATCTCAGGTTTGATAGGTATTCTTAGAAGGAGGGGGAGCTGCAGGACTGTGTTTGGGAGAATGCTTGCAAGCTCAGCAAAAAAGGGAGCTAGTGAGGACAGCAGAATGGATGGCCAGAAATGGTCTGGAATAACCTTTCCCAACTTACCTTCCTGGTAAATTGATGGGTTTTTTGCCTATTTTATTATTTGTCAGAGTGCCCATAAGATCCTCATCTATGCCTAACATCGCAAAATAATTAGTAATCCTTTCTTTGTTATTACGTCATCTTTATCAAAGTGTGTGGCAGGAGTGGGCAGCCTGTGGTTCTAGAGTCACGTGTATCCCCCCCACCTCCTGCTTTTGAAATCTCTAGCAATGATTTCTGAAAAGACGTAGTTGCTCGCCATTTTGAATTCACAAATATATGGAAACACTAAGCCAGGAGTGTCAAACTGCTGGCCCCTGGGCTGGATGCATCATAGCGAAACCGCCCCCACCCCATTGCTGGCAATGGCAAAAAGGTCACGATACATTGCGACACGTCACGTCATGTGACATTACGAGTTTGACACCCCTGCTCTAAGCAGTTAAAAAAACAGAACCCCTCCTAAATCCCAGATTGGCTTATATGTATGATGTGACACCTCCCCCCCCTCCAAATTTGGGAATCCTTAAAAATATTAAATGTGTCTCTTGATCTCAAAAAGTTGTCTACTGTAACTTTAAGCAATAAACCTAACTTTCAAAAGTTCTAACAACCATTGCTAGAGATCAGTGTGTTTCACATGGGAATCTGATGCTTAGCTCTTCATAAGATCTCCATATGAGTGTAGCGGAAGAGACAATTATAATAACTTCTGTGGTACAAGGTTATTCTTCTCTCACTAAGCTTAAGTGGTTCAATAATATCTTTGCCATGTCATCTGCTAAAATCTACCTGTGGTTTGGATCTTTCTACTCTTTTAACACACTCTTGAAAGCTATGACTCTGCAAATGGAAAGCATACCTAATGCCAGCACTGCATTTTCAAAAGCATGAGGTTCCATGGTAAAGGTGGAAATTGATTCCAGACAGAAGCTACATTTGATTTGGTCAAATTAAAATTCAAACTTAAGACAATATACACAAAGTACAGCTGATATGATTATTCTATATATTTAAGAGCTTTTCCCTTTGACTAAATTAATCATTACAATTTAAAAACAATACTAAAGGTCCCTTTGATGCCACATCTTGGATTTTGGGGCCCAAAATACGTTGTATCGCTTGCACTTTATTAAGTAATATTAAGCAAATATTCATATGTCATATATGAGACATAGAAGCTTCTGATTCTGAGTAGACTCGGAAATCATTATGGAAAGGAGTTTTATAATGAATCACTCCACTGGAAAAATTGAAATACATACAGATGAGCAAAAGTCAGTCCATGAACATTGGGCTGAAACTCTGACAAAGATTATCGGTCATCAGTAACGTGACCAAATGCTTTTTGCAGTTGGGTTGGGTTCTTTTCAATATCTCTGACTTCCAATATATTTGGACAATCATGCTTTATGGCAGGAGTGAAAATAGTGTGGCCTTCTGTCCCATCTGTGGGATACAGGCAACCTGCTACCCATCATAGCTTGTTCTCCTTTTGGTCCATGCACTATTGGATCCCCCACCTTTTCTCCGTCTTTGCCCATTTCTTGCCATATTTGCCTTTGTTGAACTCTCTCTCTCTCTCATCTCTTATATATTACATTTCCCAACTATTATCTGTTTTTGCCCCACACTTTCCTTCACTGCTTTTTTTTTCTTTATGTGCCACTCCTTGTGTGGTTTCTCTCTTTTTTCTACTTTCTCTGCACTCCTTTTCTCAGCTCCCTCCCCTCCCCTCTTCATGGGGTAAATAGAATGATCCCTCACTCCAAATTTTTGGGAAGAGGAGAGGAACATGCTTGATATAGGACGAAATGAGTTAGCAAAGATCACCTCGGAGAAATGTTGCTCCGAATAAAACTTCTGCTGATGGACAGATCTCTTGCAAATCTAGATCCAAACTATAACGTTCATTGGAGGTTATGCTACAATTTGAAGCAGATTTATTAGGCAGTAAAACACTTTGCCTCTTCCCAGATATGAACCAACTGCACCCATACGTATCTGTCTATTTTGAGAGAGGGGGGACTTTGCTCCTAAAAAGCTTTATTCCTTGCTATGCAAAATGCTGTGGGTTTTGTGACCTCTTGTGTGGATTGGTTGGTCAGGTCAATATATAAAGAGGAAACACTGCTCTAGTGAAACAGTGAAATGAGTTTGTACTTTCTCTTCAGGTCACTGACCTTGGCGCTTTTGAAACAGTCTGGCAAGTCAAATTCTACAACTATCACAAGCGAGACCACTGCCAGTGGGGAAACAGCTTTGGCTGCATCGAGTATGAATGCAAACCCAATGAGACGCGCAGCCTCATGTGGATCAATAAGGAGACCTTCTTCTGAAGTGAGGCCACTGTGTCCGGACAATTGCTTGGTAAAATAACTGATCCTCAAACCAGTGCGAAGCCTTACTCAGGCCCTCAGTATAGATGTTTCTTTTTGTGGAATAAAGCGGAATCTTCCCTTTCCCCACCTCACAACACATTTGCTCCCAAATGAGTAGGTTTGCAATGAAGAAATGAGTGTTGCTGGGAGATGATTCCTGCTCCCTCCCTAAATGTGAACTGCCCCTCACTTGCACTGGAGTGAATGGACAAAAAGTGACATTGCAATACTCACTAGGCTCTAGAGCAGTGTTTCTCAGCCTTGACAATTTTAAGGCATGTGGACTTCAACTCCCAGAATTCCACAGCCAGCATCGCTGGCTGTGAAATTCTGGGAGTTGAAGTCCACATGCCTTAAAATTGTCAAGGTTGAGAAACATTGCTCTAGAAGCTCCTTTTCCATAATCATCCTGAGATGTACTGTTTGTGACGCCCCCAAATCATTGTTTTAGAATGTTATCTGCTACATGGTAATAACAGTTTCTCTATTTTTGTGTTCAGTCTGGTTCTCATTCATGCTAGCAAGTGCCGTGAAATGCAGCTTCACCTCTGTCACTGAGCTCTGAAATTCAGAACACCTTCTCCTTTCTACTAATGCTTTTCCAGAACTGAGGAAGCCCTCAGTTACTGGACTATGACCTCCAGTGTAGTCCATGCTGGTTGGGTTTTCTGGTTGTTCGAACCCTCCAATCTCTGAAAAACCATAGATTCTTTTGGTACATATTACAGTGCACAGTGCTAATTTCAAGCGACAGGGCATCTGATAAGGTAGCAAATTAATATCTGCTCAAGTTTTTACTTAATTTTCACAGTGAAGGATTGCTAAATATTACATAACTTGAATAGGTTTTCACCTATCAAACCATAAGCAGTGATGGGATTCTTGAAACGATGCAAAACATTAATGGTTTTAAATTCTTTGTATCATATTTCTCATAATAACTGTATCAGCTACAATTAAATATATTCTAATGTTGCATATCAAAGCCCACAAGTTTTCAGATTACCTGTCAGGCAATATTTTTTTTAAGGAAAAATGAAATTAATTTGCTACAAGTAACGTTTGAGCTGTAGCCGTTTAAATATTTCAGGTCAAATATGATTTTACTGGGATGCTCTCCTAAGTAAAAAGAAAGCTGTTTGTATATAAGCTTGTGCAGGATTCTGGAATCTGGTGCTATACCCTATATAAACCTGTTTACAAATCTGTGGCAAATGAGAAGCACATTGTTTATCTCTTATGAATTTCCAATAAACGTTGCTTCTTTTACAAAGATATCTGGATTAATAAGGGGAAGTTGCATTGATGCTATTTTGCATATTGGTGTATTTGTGCCATTTATGAGAATCTGTAAAGTGATGCAGCTTTTGATCTTTGTAATAAATGAGTTGGAAATCTTTGTCTTCCTTAGCGGTTATTTAGCGTTCTTGGAATAACAATTTACTTGTATCAAAACAGTAAGCAACAAAAATTTGCCACGCAAAAGTAGGGAGAGAATGCCGGAATTGGTACATTTGGAAAGTCCTACCTCAGCTTCCCAGTGTGAATCAGACTCGTAAGTAGAATCATAAGCAGGGCCTACCCATCTAAGTTGAACATAAAGGCTAGATGATATTGAGAAAGTTAGTCCTTTAAATGACATCGTAGTCCTCACAGTTTTTTGGCAACAGTATGGAAGTAGATTGCTATTGCTTGCCTTGAGATACATGTTGATTACTTAAATACCTAGGTCAGCTTTTCCGAGCTAATTTGCTTCAGGGGAATTGGTGATATGATCACCATAATTCATATATCCGTGTTGCAAGAATACAGGTAGTCTTCAGTTTAACAACAGTTCGCTTAGTGACTGACTTATGACCATTTTTATACTTACAACCAGGGGTAGTCAATCTTGGCTCTTTTATGACTCGTGGACTTCAACTCCCAGAATTCCTGAGCCAGCTGTGCTGGCTCAGGAATTCTGGGAGTTGAAGTCCACGAGTCATAAAAGAGCCAAGTTTGACTACCCCTGCTTACAACCATTGCAGCATCCCCATGGTCACGTCGTTTACATTTGGATGCTTGACAACTGACTCACATTTCTGATGTTTGCAGTGTTCAGGGATCCCCTTTTCCAACCTTCTGACAAGCAAAGTCAATGGGGAAATCAGATTCGCTTAACAACCATGTCACTAATTTACAACTGAAGTGATTCACTTAACAAATGTGCAAGAAAAGTCATAAAATGGGGCAAAACTCACTTAAATTTCTCACTTAGCAACATAAATTTTGGGCTCGATTGTGGTCGTAAGTTGAGGACCACAGGCAGAGGGAATTGTAGTCCAACATATCTGCTGGGTTCCAGGTTGTGAAAAGCAATTCTAGATAATCTGTGTAGCTATTCCAACTTTGTACTTTTTAAAAATACAAATGGATTAACACTTGCATCCCTTTATATGAAAATAAAATTGTGAGAATAATGTATTAATGATAAATATTATGGGAATAAAGAAATAGTTGGAAATTTTGGATTGATGTGGGTATTTATTGTATTCAATGAGCTTTACCAAAAATTGGAAGTATTGCATCTGTTGATAAACATATTCTGCTCGTTTCTAATTCAGCACTTTCTATATTTTTTTCAAAATGATTTTCATTTATAATAATTCTATTATAAATAACAAGAATAGAAGCCAAAACAAGCTACAAAAATACAAACTGAAAAATATAAAAGGAAAAAAAAGTGGGGGAAAAAGAAAGAAGTAACTTCCCCCTTCATCATAGCAAGTAAAGACAATTTTAATAGCTTATCACTGTCTCTAACATAATCTCTCTTTACCTCATAGCTCATCTATTGATTAAAAAAAACTAATCTAACTTCTTTGTCAGTTGTTCTTTGTCATCAAAAGGCCAGTCAGGGCAACCAGATGTAAATATTTTACTCTTTTAACCCTTGTCAAATAAATCAGCCTCCCTGAGTTTTTAAAAAATATCTTTTAACCCCTTCAAAAAGAGTCCCAGATTTAGTTTTCTGTTCCAAACCATTTTTTTTCAGAACTTTAGCAGATTTCTTTTGTAAGTCCAATTAGATCATTTTTGTTTCTCACTTTTAATAAAGTCCTTCCAAACTTTAACAGAGCTCTTTTGTATATTTTAAAAAAAATCTATATCAGTTTCCTGGTTCAATATTTATACATCTATTTTTGTGAATAAGTCATCCATCAGTTTCATTTGTTAGGCCCATATCTTCTTCCATATCTAATAATAATGATAATGATGATAATAATAATGATGATGATGATGATAACAACAACAACAACAACAACAACAACAATAATAATAATAATAATAATAATAATAATAATAATAATAAAGTTGGAAGGGACCTTGGAGGTCATCTAGTCCAACCCCCTGCTCAGGCAGGAAACTCTAGTCTATACCATTTCTGACAAAAGGCTGTCCAGTCTCTTCTTAAAAACTTCCAGTGTTGGAGCATTCACTGCTTCTGGAGGCAGGTTGTTCCACTGGTTAATTGTTCTAACTGTCAGGAAGTTTCTCCTTAGTTCTAGGTTGTTACATTTAAGTCCCCCTTAAAAATAATTTCAAAATCATCTGCTGAACTTGTAACTCAGTCAATCTCATCAAGAAATGTATCTATTTTGCTAAAAAGCTTGGCAGACAGACCAAATTTGCATGATAGATTTTTGCTCCATATTCTTAATCCACTAGCTCCCTCTAGTGTTCAACCCTCAAGATTCCCTTATCATGAAAAAACCTCAAAACTAGCATTTTCCCCATTTGTTATTTTTTTTTTTAACGAACTCAAAACTCTTTGTGGGCATTTAAAATTATAATTCTAGGTAGTTTTAACTTACTCTATTGTTAAACTTTATAAAATCCATATTCCCAGCATCCTTTTACTGTTTAATACATAAAGTAATATTTTTCAAAAAATTTTAAAAATTGCATTTAAGTTCTTTTTCTAAGGAGAAGATGACTCTGTTAATAAATACAGTATAACTCACTGTCCTGGAGGGTCATAATCCTTTTAAGGCAGCAGGAAAAAAATCCAAAATGATTTAAGAGGTGAGGTGTGGTCGAGCCTATGATTCTTTAAAAAGCTGCATTAATGTTTATGAGCAAAGATCATTCCTTCAACTCCCAGCTACTTGACCCAGACGCAAACCACAAAATGATGATTCCTGTGATTTACTCAAGAGGAAGACTGTGCAGAGTCATGTGGGCTATCTCAAAGATAGCTCCTTAATCCAGAAAACATTTTGGCAGCCAGGATCCTACATCCCACACCGATTTCCATCGTAACACTTTCCCATTACAAAAAGGGATGTTTTAGCTCACCATGGCTCTCAATTAAAAGCTGTATGTTTTCATAGCATCTAATGGATTAATGAGTTCATTGTGAAGCACATCCACTGTAGCAAATTTGGTTTCTGTGTGTGTTCATCAATGCAGTGAGGATCTGAACAAGTTTTTTGCATACTTATTTCCAGCATGACATGGAATTAAATTAAACATTGTGTTCCAAATTTGTACCATGTGTTAGAGCTGTGCATGGTTTCCAATTCAGCTTGGAAGAGGTACTTTGGAAGGTGCCAAAGCAGTTGCTCTTTAAAGCAATTGCTATAGGGAATAGGAATGGGCTAGAGCAGGGGTCCCCAACCCTTGGTCCGTGGACTGGTACTGAGCCGTGGAATGCCAGCAACCAGTCTGCACAAAGAAGCAAAGCCCCATCCATGGGATGCAGGCAGCACACAAAACCATGCCCCCTATGGTCCGCGGAAAGACTTTTCTCCATGTAACCGGTCCCCAGTGCCCCAAGGTTGGGGATCTCTGGGCTAGAGCAGTGGTTCTCAACCTGTGGGTCGGGACCCCATTTGGGGTCGATCGACCATTTCATGGGGGTCGCCAAGCAAGGCTGTCCGCCATTTTTTTGTCCGCCATTTTTTTCCCCTTTTCCGGCGGGTGCCTTACCTCCCTTGGGCTGGGCCAGCTCCGTCTCTGCCGCTTGCCAGCTAGGCCTCGGCCGGCGCAGGGGGCGGAACCACGCATGCGCGGCGCTCCCGGGCAGGGAAAGTCCTCAACTTACGACCGGTTGGGTAGTCCTCAACTTACGACCGGTTTAGTCCTCGACTTACGACCGGCTTAGTCCTCGACTTAC